CAAAAAAGATTTTCAATTCACCAACGATTATTTACCTTTCGCACGTAGTCAATCACTGTACACACACCCACACACATCAGTTGTGTAACAAAACATAACGGTTGTCGCCCGCAGTAAGCACTCAGTGCACACGACCAATCAGAAGCCGAGCAGTGCCACAAGCCGAGCAGCGCCATCACAACCAGTGCGGACAAAGTACGCATGCATCGGACTCGACACACAAGTAGCCCGCATGCACCATTTTAATGATTTTGCCGCTGATCTGCTACGCTCGACAGGGTGATTCAAGCCCATGTGGACCAAACATCAAATTTTCAAAAGTTACTTTTAAAACTTGGAAAATCCATCAAAAAAAGGTGCCAGAACTCTGTTCCGGTGCGTTCTATGACAAAAAAGGCACTGCTTCTCGGCATCTTTACAAAAATAACAAATCAAAACGACCGTCATAAAGTCACGTTTTTGGCTGGCAGGCTGAGAATACACACACTCCTCGACTTATAACCATTTGTTTAGTCGCCGTTTGAAGTTACGACGGCAGTAAAAAAAGTGACTTAAGACAGTTTTTCACACTTGTGACTGTTGCAACATCCCCACAATCGCGGGATCAAAATTTAAATGCTCGGCAACTGGCCCATATTTATGACCATTGCTGTGTCCCAGGATCCCAGGATCAAAATTCAGATGCTCATATATATGACAGTTGCCGTGTTCCCGCAGTCACGTGATCACCTTTTACGACCTTCTGACAAGCAAAGTCAATGGGGAAGCCAGATTCACTTAACAATTGTGTTACTAACTGCACAACTGTAGTGATTCCCTTAACAACTGTGGCAAGAAAGGTCATAAAATGAGGCAAAATTCACTTAATAACAGTGTCGTTTAGGAACAGACGTTTTGGCTAAACTGTGGTCGTAAGTTGAGGACCTCCTGTATTTCATGGCGTCTCGTTTAGCAACTTGTCCCTTTTTAAGAATCTTGTTCAAAAGCACAAGTTTATTTTTCCGCCAGCTACCCGCTATTTGCCAGATAGTTGCCCCGTGACGCAGAAGCATTTTGGATCTAGCATTACGCCATAATCTTGCAAAGTTGTTATTCTCCCTTCATTTTCTGGTAGTAGATGGAGGGAATGTGAGAAAGAGGTAATGAATTTGTAATTCCACTGTCAAATTTATGAGACCTCTTTAAAAAATATCCTGCTTAGGTTTACTCCGTTTCAGGAGCACATCTTCAAAAATCATCTCTGAATTGTCAAGTTGCATTTCAGAATAACAGAATGACAAAGTTGGAAGGGACCTTGGAGGTCTTCTAGTCCACCCCCCTGCTCAGGCAAGAAGCACTATACCATTTCAGACCAATGGCTGTCAATCTCTTCTTAAAAACTTCCAGTGATGGAGCACTCACAATTTCTGGAGGCAAGCAGTTCCACTGGTTAATTGTTCTAACTGTCAGGAAGTTTCTCCTTAGTTCTAGGTTGCTTCTCTCCTTGATTAGTTTCCATCCGTTGCTTCTTGTCCTGCCTTTGGAGAATAGCTTGACTCCCTCTTCTTTGTTCCTCACTTCCTCAGTGTTTCTCAACCTTGGCAACTTTAAGATGTATGGACTTCAACTCCCAGAATTCCCCAGCCAGACATGAAGTTTATACATCTTTAATTTGCTGAGGTTGAGAAATATTATTATAGATAATAGATATAAAGAGGAAGACCCCACCCAATGTTTTTAGGGTTCAGGGACATAGATTGGATCTTCCACAGCTGGCAAAGTGGGTGCTGATCTCAAAATGTTGGGGAGACAGGGAGGAGGTGACTTCATTCATCTTCTTCCATAACTTCGAGCACAAGAGTCCGAGGTCCTGTCACAATGAGGTTGCTCACAGTCTGATAGTCCAAATGTAAAACATACATTCCATTCACTGAGTAGACAAATTGGCAGACCTGAAAAAGGAAGAAACAGCATAAAACACTCCTAAAGTAAGTGGCACTCATCTGTATGTCTTTCTTTCTTTCTTTCTTTCTTTCTTTCTTTCTTTCTTTCTTTCTTTCTTTCTTTCTTTCTTTTTCTTTCTTTCTTTCTTTCTTTCTTTCTTTCTTTCTTTCTTTCTTTCTTTCTTTCTTTCATCCAGCCATCTTTTATCTATCATCCATCCATCATCTCTCATCTATCTACCAACTATATATCTCTGATCTAATCTATCTCTTTTCTCCAGATCGATTTCTGATCCAACTCTCTCTCATCTATCTGCCGGTCAGTATCTATCTGTCTGTCTGTCTGTCTGTCTGTCTGTCTGTCTGTCTGTCTGTCTGTCTGTCTGTCTGTCTCTCTCTCTCTCTCTCTCTCTCTCTCTCTCTATCTATCTATCTATCTATCTATCTATCTATCATCTATGTATCTATCTTCTATCCAGTGCTTTTTTTCAAAAAAAAAAAAAAAAAAAAAAGGTGCCAGAACTCACACATGTCATACAACCTGCCTTAACTACCCTACAAGGTTCCATCCAAAAAAGGTGCCGGGCGTTCTATGAGAAAAAAAACCCTGTTTCTATCTATTTATCTGTCTGTCTGTCTGTCTGTCTGTCTGTCTATCTAATCTATCTGTCTGTCTGTCTGTCTGTCTGTCTGTCTGTCTGTCTAATCTATCTATCTATCTATCTATCTATCTATCTATCTATCTATCTATCTATCTATCTATCTATCTATCTATCAACCGTGTTTCCCCAAAAATACAACCTACCCTGAAAATAAGACCTAGCTTGATTTTTAGGGTTGGACCTAATATAAGCCCTACCCCCCAAAATAAGCCCTACTTAAGACCCCGCCCACTCCATCCCACCGTAGGTTTTTTGGCAAGCTGGATCGAGTGCCTTCCCCCNCAAAAAAGATTTTCAATTCACCAACGATTATTTACCTTTCGCACGTAGTCAATCACTGTACACACACCCACACACATCAGTTGTGTAACAAAACATAACGGTTGTCGCCCGCAGTAAGCACTCAGTGCACACGACCAATCAGAAGCCGAGCAGTGCCACAAGCCGAGCAGCGCCATCACAACCAGTGCGGACAAAGTACACATGCATCGGACTCGACACACAAGTAGCCCGCATGCACCATTTTAATGATTTTGCCGCCGATCTGCTACGCTCGACAGGGTGATTCAAGCCCATGTGGACCAAACATCAAATTTTCAAAAGTTACTTTTAAAACTTGGAAAATCCATCAAAAAAAGGTGCCAGAACTCTGTTCCGGTGCGTTCTATGACAAAAAAGGCACTGCTTCTCGGCATCTTTACAAAAATAACAAATCAAAACGACTGTCATAAAGTCACGTTTTTGGCTGGCAGGCTGAGAATACACACACTCCTCGACTTATAACCATTTGTTTAGTCGCCGTTTGAAGTTACGACAGCAGTAAAAAAAGTGACTTATGACAGTTTTTCACACTTGTGACTGTTGCAACATCCCCACAATCGCGGGATCAAAATTTAAATGCTCGGCAACTGGCCCATATTTATGACCGTTGCTGTGTCTCAGGATCCCAGGATCAAAATTCAGATGCTCATATATATGACGGTTGCCGTGTTCCCGGAGTCACGTGATCACCTTTTACGACCTTCTGACAAGCAAAGTCAATGGGGAAGCCAGATTCACTTAACAATTGTATTACTAACTGCACAACTGTAGTGATTCCCTTAACAACTGTGGCAAGAAAGGTCATAAAATAAGGCAAAATTCACTTAACAACAGTGTCGCTTAGGAACAGACGTTTTGGGCTAAACTGTGGTCATAAGTTGAGGACCTCCTGTATTTCACGGCGTCTCGTTTAGCGACTTGTCCCTTTTTAAGAATCTTGTTCAAAGGCACAAGTTTATTTTTCTGCTAGCTACCCGCTATTTGCCAGATAGTTGCCCCGTGACGCAGAAGCATTTTGGATCTAGCATTACGCAATAATCTTGCAAAGTTGTTATTCTCCCTTCATTTTCTGGTAGTAGATGGAGGGAATGTGAGAAAGAGGTAATGAATTTGTAATTCCACTGTCAAATTTATGAGACCTCTTTAAAAAATATCCTGCTTAGGTTTACTCCGTTTCAGGAGCACATCTTCAAAAATCATCTCTGAATTGTCAAGTTGCATTTCAGAATAACAGAATGACAAAGTTGGAAAGGACCTTGGAGGTCTTCTAGTCCACCCCCCTGCTCAGGCAAGAAGCACTATACCATTTCAGACCAATGGCTTTCAATCTCTTCTTAAAAACTTCCAGTGATGGAGCACTCACAATTTCTGGAGGCAAGCAGTTCCACTGGTTAATTGTTCTAACTGTCAGGAAGTTTCTCCTTAGTTCTAGGTTGCTTCTCTCTTTGATTAGTTTCCATCCGTTGCTTCTTGTCCTGCCTTTGGAGAATAGCTTGACTCCCTCTTCTTTGTTCCTCACTTCCTCAGTGTTTCTCAACCTTGGCAACTTTACGATGTATGGACTTCAACTCCCAGAATTCCCCAGCCAGCCATGAAGTTTATACATCTTTAATTTGCTGAGGTTGAGAAATATTATTATAGATAATAGATATAAGGAGGAAAACCCCACCCAATGTTTTTAAGGTTCAGGGACATAGATTGGATCTTCCACAGCTGGCAAAGTGGGTGCTGATCTCAAAATGTTGGGGAGACAGGGAGGAGGTGACTTCATTCATCTTCTTCCATAACTTCGAGCACAAGAGTCCGAGGTCCTGTCACAATGAGGTTGCTCACAGTCTGATAGTCCAAATGTAAAACATACATTCCATTCACTGAGTAGACAAATTGGCAGACCTGAAAAAGGAAGAAACAGCATAAAACACCCCTAAACTAAGTGGCACTCCTCTGTCTGTCTGTCTGTCTGTCTGTCTGTCTGTCTGTCTGTCTGTCTGTCTGTCTGTCTGTCTGTCTGTCTTTCTTTCTTTCTTTCTTTCTTTCTTTCATCCAGCCATCTTTTATCTATCATCCATCCATCATCTATCATCTATCTACCAACTATCTATCTCTGATCTAATCTATCTCTTTTCTCCAGATCAATTTCTGATCCAACTCTCTCTCATCTATCTGCCGGTCAGTATCTATCTGTCTGTCTGTCTGTCTGTCTGTCTGTCTGTCTGTCTGTCTGTCTGTCTGTCTGTCTGTCTGTCTGTCTGTCTGTCTGTCTGTCTGTCTGTCTGTCTGTCTGTCTATCTTTCTATCCAGGGCTTTTTTTCTAAAAAAAAAAAAAAGTGCCAGAACTCACACACGTCATACAACCCACCTTGCCTACCCTACAAGGTTGCATCCAAAAAAGGTGCCGGAACTCTGTTCTGGGCGTTCTAAGAGAAAAAAAAACCCTGTTTCTATCTATTTATCTGTCTGTCTGTCTGTCTGTCTGTCTGTCTGTCTGTCTGTCTGTCTATCTATTATCTATCTATCTATCTATTATCTATCTATCTATCTATTATCTATCTATCTATCTATTATCTATCTTTCTGTCTATTTATCTGTCTGTCTAGCTATCTAATCTATCTATCTATCTATCTATCTATCTATCTATCTATCTATCTATCTATCTATCTATCTATCTATCTATCTATCTATCTATCTATCTATCGTGTTTCCCCAAAAATACAACCTACCCTGAAAATAAGACCTAGCTTGATTTTTAGGGTTGGACCTAATATAAGCCCTACCCCCCAAAATAAGCCCTACTTAAGACCCCGCCCACTCCATCCCACCGTAGGTTTTTTGGCAAGCTGGATCAAGTGCCTTCCCCGCCCCCCCCCCCCGTCTTGCGTGCTGCCGGCGCCACTGCCGTCAGGTGCCTGAATGTTAAGAGAGCCGGGGCCTGAGGCAAGCAGAAGCTGCCTCCTTAGTATCCCTGCCCTGGATTGGGGGATCCAGTGGGAAGGAGGGGGTTGGGGCCTGGCTGGGGCCCCAACCAGCAGCTTCTCTCTTTCACCCTCATCCCGAAGCAGCCTCCGGAGGCGGCCTGCACTGCCCCACGGGCTTTGACGCTTTCTCTTCCTCTGCGGAAGGGCGGGAAACTGCCTTTTCATTTACATTCATCATCAATATTGCAATCTGTCCCTTTATTTTTTTTAAAAAAGATCATTTGTATTTACCACGATTAGCCTCCTTGATTGCCAAGTCTTTCTACCTGCCAGTCTAATAAAATTCAAGCGGTTGGCAGATGGAGGGTGTTTGGCAAGGAAAGGAATCAGATCGGAAGATCCCACATATCTAATTCATGAGGCTCAAATCTTGTACCTTCATGCCAGCAGCAGCAGCTGGTCCTCCTGGATCTACAGCCTGGATGTGGCATGGCTGACCGCCACGGACCACAAAACCCCAGCCAACTGCATCCCCTACAATCTGCAAATGAGGTGGTAAACGAGGAGGAGGAGCAGAAGGAAGAGGAGGAGGAGGAAAAGGAAGAGGAGGAGGAGGAGGAAAGGAAGAGAGGAAGAAGAGGAGGAGGAGGAGGAGGAGGAGGAGGGGGAGGAGGAGGAGGAAAGGAAGAGAGGAGGAGGAGGAGGCGGAAGAAGAAGAAGAAGAAGAAGAAGAAGAAGAAGAAGAAGAAGAAGAAGAAGAAGAAGAAGAAGAAGAAGAAGAAGAAGAAGAAGAAGAAGAAGAAGAAGAAGAAGAAGAAGAAGAAGAAGAAGAAGAAGAAGAAGAAGAAGAAGAAGAAGAAGAAGAAGAAGAAGAAGAAGAAGAAGAAGCTTTATCTATATATCCACAAAACATCTTATTGTTTGATTTTTCTTTTGGCCCATACTTCTACAGACTTGGGGCAATCCTTGGCTGACTTTGTCTATGTTTGGAAACACAACATGGTTGGGCCTGGATACAGGAAAGCCTTGGTAACACCAGGCTACACAGTGGGATAGGAAGTCAAGATGTATCTTGGAAAAAAGACAATGACTCTGATACTCTTATCGGGAAAAATACATGGATGTTTCTACAAAGTCCTCAAGAATTAAGGATGGGAAACTTGGTAGGTCAATCTTGCTTGATGCTATGAAAAAATACCACCATTAACACTTGAATGGCAGACCATCCATCTTAAGACAGAGCAGTATTTTTCAACCGTGGTTCACTTTAAGATGTGTGGACTTCAGTTCCCAGAATTCTCCAGCCAGCCAGCCAGCTGGCTAGGGAATTCTAGGAGTTGAAGTCCACACCTCTTAGAGTGGTCAAGGTTGAGAAACACTGAGATAGATCGAAAAGTCAAAAGCCATGCGGAAATAAAGGAGTGGAAGATGATTTATCACACTATTGTCAAAGACATGATGTACATCTGCCCCCAATTCATTAGGAAATGACCTTGAGGTGAAACTTTTATCTACAAATACTGGCGGTGGGGGATGTTCTGAGTTACAGCAAGCAGTCAGAATGATTTATTTCAGCAACAATGCTGACTTGTTGACCTGTATACTCACTGTCAGCGTTTTTTTGATATAAGGTGCCCCAGGTGTCAAAAGCTCCTCATTGGTGACCGGTCTCTTCAAGACTTGCATGGAAGGGGAGAAAAATTGAGGATGACATTGGATTGGATTAGAGAAATATTCTAGCTTTTCAACTATAAGGTTAATCACGTCGGACAATTTATTCTCCGTTACATTAAAATTAAGAGGACAATGTTTTGTGAATATGGGTGTTTTAGAAAATTGATTATTAGTATTTTAAAATATTGGTATTATTTGCTTAAATTTAGAGGGTGTTTGTTTGAATCTCTAGGCGAGATACAAAGCATATAAATTTAATGTTGTTGTTAGTTGCTAAGTCGTGTCCGACCCATCGCAACCCCATGGACAACGTTCCTCCAGGCCTTCCTGTCCCCTACTATCTTCTGGAGTCCATTTAAGCTCACGCCTACTGCTTCAGTGACTCCATCCAGCCACCTCCTTCTCTGTAGTCCCCTTCTTCTATTGCCCTCAATCTTTCCCAGCATCAGGCTCTTCTCCAGTGAGTCCTTCCTTCTCCTTAGATGGCCAAAGTACTTGAGTTTCAGCTTCAGGATCTGGCCTTTTAAAGAGCAGTCGGGGTTGATCTCCTCTAGGACTGACCGATTGGATCGCCTTGCAGTCCAGGGGACTCGCAGAAGTCTTCTCCAGCACCAGAGTTCAAAGGCCTCAATTCTTTGTCGCTCAGCCTTTCTTATGGTCCAACTTTCACAGCCATACATTGCAACTGGGAAAACCATGGCCTTGACTATATGCACTTTTGTTAGCAGGGTGATGTCTCTGCTTTTTAGTATGCTATCTAAATTTGCCCAGGAAGATAAAATCTGTCACTACCTCCATTTCTTCCCCATCTATTTGCCAGGAATTGAGAGGGCCAGATGCCATGATCTTGGTTTTCTTAATGTTGAGTTTCAAGCCAACTTTTGCACTCTCCTTCTTCACCCGCATCAAAAGGCTCTTTAATTCCTCTTCACTTTCTGCCATTAAAGTGGTATAAATTTAATAAGCAAATAAATAAATAGTTGCTAATTATCTCTTGAAGTAAAAGAAAGTTGGAGGCCCTTAAATGTGCCGGTTGCAATTTTGGGCCCCTTTTCATTTGTTTTGATATTCCCTTTCCCCGTTTATGTTGGCTTGTATTTTAATGTTTGATTTTGAAATTTAATCAAGCCATATTTTTTTTAAAGAAAAGGAAAGGGGGAAAAAATGATAAGGCAGATCATTCAGTTACATTACAGGTAGTCCTCAACTTACAGCCCAGATTCTTGCTAAGCAAGACAGTTGTTAAGTGAGTTTTGACCCATTTTACGACCTTTCTGGCCCCGGTTCTTCACTGCGCTTGTTAAATAAGTAACACTGTTGTTAAGCAAATTCTGGCTTCCCCATTGACTCTGCATGTCAGAAGTTGCAAAAGATGATCCCGGGACACTGCGACCGTCATAAATATGAGTCAGTTGCCAAGCATCTTGATTTATGGATGACGTGGGGATGCTGCAATGGTCGTTTATGAAAAAGGGTCATAAATGGCATTTTCCAGTGCCATTGTAACTGTTGTGATTTCTCATCAGCCAGTGGACCTGGCAGCTGAGTCTGAGGAATCAGAGGAGGAGGAGGAGGGGCCTGGAGTGACATCAGAGTCAGAGGAAGGCTCTAAGGAGCTCCAAGACTTACAGTCTGACCAGGAGCCTGGCCCCTCTACTCCTGTTCAGGCTGAGACACAGCTGTGCTGGGAGCCTGAGTTTGACAGTGATGAAGAACAGCTGGGACAAATCCAGGATGCACGAAAGCGCAGGCAAGAGAAGCGAGTAGGACAGAGGGCTGCAATGGGGCAGCTCCAAAGGCAAAGGAGAAGGCATTAGGAAGCCACACCTTGGCTGCATAATAAAAGGGAAGGTGTGGGAGGTGCTGGTTGCCGAAGGCAATCCATTCGTGTTGAGGATCGAGTTTCTGTGAACTGTGTTTGTTTGCCTTGGACATTGACTCAGGTCTGTGAGAATAAAAGGGGTTGGGGTTTTTTTCTTGCGGTTCCAGCCTGCTTGTTGAAAGAGGGGTTTCTCCTTGTGAGCATAACAAGGACTCACGTAGGCTGGGACGGAACAGTAACTTCAGACAGTCACGAAATGAATGGTTGTAAGTCGAGAACTCAGGATGCCACCTCTTGTTTCATGTTCAACTTATCTTAAAAGAAAAAGTAAAGGTACGGAAGAATGGCTCACCAGATTTAGGATTGCACTCAATAGCTGGCACCATTCCCAGGTTTGGGGAGAGGTTGTAATAGAGACTGGATCCCCCAGCCAGCGAAGTTACACTACTTCTTCGGACCGCCGAGACAATTTTGATTTCCTTATTAGGTTGGACTGAAAAAAAATAGTGTTCTGCTGAAGTCAGAGAGCACTTTGTGTGTGTATGTGTATTCGCCTAATATCTGTATTAGATAAATATAAATAAAATTACAACACTATCTTTGTAACAACTTATTATACTCTGTTTATTTTTTCTGCTCTGTTTTTTCATTTATACTTGAAGCATTTATTACATAGATTTATAATGCATGTATTTTTATGTTGCGTTCCTGTATTGTTTTTCTCTTTTTTACTCTTACTGTTTTGAAAGCAACTCTGATGGCATGCCCATGTGTTTATCTGTATCTGTGTCTGTGTGTTTGGGTAGAGTTTGACCAAAATTGCAGCCTTTCACATTCTATTGTGAAATCAGTTTTTTTTTCATTAGCCCTGGGGTCTTTAAACTTGGCCACTTTAAGACTTGTGGACTTCAACTCCCAGAATTCCTCACCCATCCATAAGTCTTAAAGTTACCAAGTTTGAAGACCACTGCATTAGCCTTTCCAAATTAATAAATAGCATTCTTATCTGAATCTCAGCAAGTTATAGTCATAGCAATAATAGCACAGGGAGAAAATAACAGCACAGGGAGAACATAGCACAGGGTCTCTAGTTCTGACCTGTGTCTTACAGCCTGGCTTGCTATTCTAAGATGATGATGATGATGATGATGATGATGATGATGATGATGATGATGATGATAATAATAATAATAATAATAATAATAATAATAATAATAATAATAATAATAATAATAATAATAATAATAATAAAGTTGGAAGGGACCTTGGAGGTCATCTAGTCCAACCCCCTGCTCAGGCAGGAAACCCTATACCATTTCAGACAAATGGCTGTCCAGTCACTTCTTAAAAACCTCCAGTGTTGGAGCATTCACCGCTTCTGGAGGCAGGTTGTTCCACTGGTTAATTGTTCTAACTTTCAGAAAGTTTCTCCTTAGTTCTAGGTTGCTTCTCTCCTTGATTAGTTTCCACCCATTGCTTCTTGCCCTGCCTTCAGGCGCTTTGGAAAATAGCTTGACTCTCTCTTCTTTGGGGCAGCCCCTGAGATACTGGAACACTGCTATCATGTCCCCCCTCGTCCTTCTCTTCATTAAACTAGACATACCCAATTCCAGCAACCGTTCCTGATATGTTTTAGCCTCCAGTCCCCTAATCATCTTTGTTGCTCTTCTCTGCACTCTTTCTAGAGTCTCAACATCTTTTTTACATCGTGGTGACCAAAACTGGATGCAGTATTCCAAATGTGGCCTTACCAAGGCATTGTAAAGTGGTATCAATACTTCACCTGATCTTGATTCTTGAGGACCAGGAGGTGAGATAAGGAAGAATTTGTCCTTATTTCAAATTTTCATACAAATATATTCAACTATGCTCAGCATGGTTCCTTATAAACCAGCCACCTGCCTCATTCTTTTTAAACTGTTTTGTTGACATTCACTGTTCTTTTTCAATAGCTATTAAAAGGAAATATACTCAATAAAAATGTATCCTGGAATGCATGCCTTGAAGAAAGGGTGCACAACATCTATATGATATTATGGCAATTTGTTTGGCCCAAATGTGTCATTATTTTTTTTTAAAGTAGAGGCAAAATTGAATACTTTAGGTACAACACGCTCAAACAAGCATGCATATTTTCTGCAGTCTGTAAATGGAGAAAGTATGCAAGCCTGGGCTGGCCCCTCCATAAATGATTTTAAAAGCAGGAAATATGAGAGAGTGTTAGGAATGTGCAGTTTTTCAAAAATTGTTTTTCCATGTATGTATATGTGCGAGTAAATAACAATGTACTAAACAAATGTATGTACCCACCCAACTCACACATAGGTGACTACGGACATCTTGCAACATTTAATTTTTTTTAAAAAAAAAATCTGTCATATAATGTATGCCTACGATTGCAGGATGGTTTTTGGGGAGACATAAAATAATACAGGGGTATCTGTCATTCCAGAAAGTGCTGGGAGAAATGAAGTAGAGCTAGATAAGGGAACCAGGGTGATGTCTTATTCAAAGGACAGTCTTCCATTTCTATTCCTCTTCCAAATTCTTCCTTCTCTTTCCTCCTTCTCCCTCCCTCTCTCCTTCCTTCTTCTCCTTTTATTCCTTCCTCCTTCTCCTTCCTCTTCCTGCTTTCCTTCATCTCCCTCTTCTTTCTCCTTCCTCTTTTCCTTTTCTTTCCTTTCTTTCCTCTCTCCTTCCCCCTCCCTCCCTCCCTCCCTCCCACTCTTCCTTCCTTCCTTCTCTCTTTCTTCCTTTTTTCCTTCATTCCTTCTTCTCTTTCATCCCCTCCCTCCCTTCCCCCTCTCCTTTCTTCCTTCTTTTTTCAATTGTTCCTTCTTCCCTCCTTTCCTTTCCTTCCCTCCCTTCCTCGTGTCTCTCCTTTCTTCCTTTTTTCCTTCGTTCCTTCTTCCCTTTCTTCCCCTCCCTCCCTCCCTCCTCTCCTTTCTTTCTTCTTTTTTAAATTGTTCCTTCTTCCCTCCCTTTCTTCCTTCCTTCCTTCCTTCTTCCTCTCTCCTTTCTTCCTTTTTTCCCTTCGTTCCTTCTTCCCTACCTTTCTTCTTTCCCTCCTTTTTCCTTCCTTCCTGCCTCCCTCTCTCCTCTCCTTCCCTTCCCTCTCCCCCCGTATCTTCAGCTGCAGGTACCTGACAAGAAGCTGGAGGCGTTCTGCTCGGGGTTCAGCTTCCGCAGACAGAAGGGGCTGTCGGGGCTGTCCGACAGTGACCTGACCGAACTTTCGCTGAGCAGTTCCGTGAGTCGCCTCCTTCGTCGGAAATTGATCCGAAACTGGTAGAGGAGGTCTCGGTCGTAAAAATGGTACTGAGCGGAGACTGTGGATAGAAGGAGCCACGAGGCAGACAGAATGTCATGCGTCTGATTAACAAAACACTTAAAAGGACTTTCAGGCATATTTTCTCCTAAAAGCATTTATTAAGGTTACAGAGACGTCAGTACAGCATGGTGGAAATGCTTAGGTCTGCTTCTCTTCCGTTACGCATATACATTCCAAGCATTTCCCACTCCCTTATTTTGGGGTCATGGTTCACATCTTCCAATCAACTTGGAAGATGTGATTTACTTCCGGTTTCTTTCTCCGGGCTATCCTTATGCTCCTCCCTCTTTCCCAGTTGCTGGTTTAACTATATAAATACCAGACAGTTCTGCACATTGTCAAAGCAAGAATATACAGTATTTGCAGCATTGACACAGAAAAGTCAGAGCAAGCTTTTAATCCTCTTGATCCAGCCACGGGCCTCTGTTATTCTCATTCACTTATTGACCCCCCACTCTGGCCCTTTATTAAAATCCCCCAATGCAAATAAAACAGTGAACTGCATACAGGTAGTCCCTGACCTACAGCCATTTGTTTGGTGACGGTCCAAAGTCACAGAGGCGCTGAAAAAAAAGGGACCAATGACCATTTTTCACACTTAACGACCATTGCAGCCTCCCCGTGGTCACGTGATCAAAATTCAGACACTTGGCGACTGGCCATTGGCCTGCCTTGTCAGAAGCCCCCGGGAAATTCACAGGATGCTGCGACCAGTGTAAATATACGCCGGTTGCCAAACAGTCAAATGTGGATCACATGACCATGGGGATGCTGTCACGTCGTAAGTGCAAGGACTGGCCATGAATCACTTTTTTTTAGCACTCTTGTGACTTCAAACAGTTGTTAAATGAATGGTCATAATTTGAGGACTCCCTGAATTGAAATCATCATAGCCTATATATTTTTCAGTGGGGTCCTTGGTGCTTTCTGAGCTTGGCGGTTTTCTTGCAGATGTTTCATTACCCAACTGGGTAACATTATCAGTGTTAGAAGGCAGTGGGGGATATGGGGAGGAGGAGGAGGAGGAAGAGGAGGAAGAGGAGGATTGTGTGGTCCTTGATGTGATCTGAGCTTGGTTGCTTTCTTGCAGATGTTTTATTACCCAACTAGGTAACATTATCAGTGCTAGAAGGGAGTGGGGGATATGGGGGGGAGGAGGAGGAGGAGGAGGAGGAGGAGGAGGAGGAAGAGGAGGAAGAGGAGGAGGATTGTGTGGTCCTTGATGTGATCTGAGCTTGGTTGCTTTCTTGCAGATGTTTTATTACCCAACTAGGTAACATTATCAGTGCTAGAAGGGAGTGGGGGATATGGGGAGGAGGAGGAGGACGAGGATGAGGAGGAGGACGAGGACGAGGAAGGAAGGAAGGAAGGAAGGAAGGAAGGAAGGACCTGTGGGGTCCTTGGTGCTCTCTGAGCTTAGCAGTTTTCTTGCAGATGTTTCATTACCCAACTAGGTAACATCATCAGTGCTAGAAGGGAGTTGGGGAGAAGGAGGAGGAGGATTGTGCAGACCTTGATGTGATCTGAGCTTAGTTGTTTTCTTGCAGATGTTTCATTACCCAACTAGGGAACATCATCAGTGCTGGAAGGGAGTAGGGTTTGTGGGGAGGAGGAGGAGCAGGAGGAGCAGGAGCAGGAAGAGGATTGTGTGGTCCTTGATGTGATCTGAGCTTGACGGTTTTCTTGTAGACATTTCATTACCAAAATAGGTAACACCATCGGTGCAAACCCCACTCTTTTCTAGCCCTGACGATGTTAGCTAGTATGGTAATGAGAACATCCTCAAGAAAACCGCCAAACTCAGAGAGCACCAAGGACCCCGCAGTTTAGCCCTGAGCTACGGAGATTCTCTTCTATCGCCTTTTCAGTCGTGTGTGCCAACTTCTGGGCATTATCTCCTCCTACGCCATACCGTGCTGGATGATCCCGTGTTCTAGGAGAGTTTGGCAGAGTTCCGCAGCTTCCTTCCGGTTTGGGGCCTCCCCTTCCTCAACCAGCCAGTCAACCATCTCACAGCCCAGGAACGTCCTCTGGTATTTGACCAGGTTCTCCTCTCTGACTTTGAGAATGGAGTTGTCCATGCCGATCAGCCTACAGTCAACAGACAGGAAGACACGGAAACAAGGATATCCGCCGATTTGGACAAACCACCAATCCACGCAGCCAGTCCAAGTTCAATTGGGCAGTACGACTTTAAAATTCAGGTAAGGAAGGGTAGAGAAAAAAGAGGTTAAGGTTTTCCCCTGACCAATTGATTCTGACTCTAGGGCCGTGGTGGCGAACCTATGGCACGCGTGCCACAGGTGGCACTCGGAGCCCTCTCTGTGGGCACGCGTGCCGTCGCCCCAGTCCTAGGCCTTCAGCTGGGTTTTATAAAACCTTTTTCGCTTTAGGCCTCCGCCGCCATGTGCAAAAAAAAGGTTCAATCAATCAATCAATTTCAACTTCTCGCGGGGGAAAAAAAAGATCTCGCAAAGTTGGAATTGATTGATTGAACTTTTTAGTCCCACCCAGTTTGCCGTTACCACCGAAGCCACGCCCACCCAATAGGCCAAGCCCACTCACTTGGCTGCACCCACCCAATGGGCCACACCCACCCGGCACCCCACGATACATAAGTGGGTTTTGGGTTGCAGTTTGGGCACTCGGTCTCTAAAAGGTTTGCCATCACTGGTATAGGGGTTGGTGTCTCATGTGGCCTTGAATTTTTTTCCTGTACAGGTATAGTCCTTAGCTTACAACCACAACCGGCATCAGAATTTCTGTTGCTCAGTGATGTGATTATGGAGTTGCACCCAATTTTAAATTCACTAAATGAACTTTTGTAAGTCTATGAAGATTTCTAGAAGGGCTGTAATTCATCTGTCACCACTGGAGGGCAGTCCAAGCCTACTTTATTTCTTCGTTTAGTTCTTGTTTTGAGTTTTGTGCCTTCAAGTCAATTTTTGACTCCTGAAAATTGCCTGGAATTAGTCCTTAGATCAGTGGTTCTCAACCTTTTTAATGCCGCGACCCCAACCGGTCGTAAGTCGAGGACTAAACCGATCGTAAGTCGAGGACTTTCCCTGCCCGGGAGCGCCGCGCATGCGTGGTTCCGCCCCCTGCGCCAGCCGAGGCGTAGCTGGCAAGTGGCAGAGACGGAGCAGGCCGACCACCAGCTGGCCCAGCCCAAGGGAGGTAAGGCACCCGCCGGAAAAGGGGGAAAAAATGGCGGACAGCCTTGCTTGGCGACCCCCATGAAATGGTCGATCGACCCCAAATGGGGTCCCGACCCATAGGTTGAGAACCACTGCCTTAGATGGAGAAAAGAAGACCATGCTTCAAATGCCATCAAATTAACTAATCCCTGGACTTTTCTTGGCAAAGTTTTTCGGAAGGGTTTTTCCAAGTGATGCAAAAGCACGGGAATAAGATTCCAGTTTGCAGTTTGTGTCTCAATCAGAATGCTTAATTTAAAAACAAATCTTTGCTGAAGGAAGCCTGGCTGAATGGAACCCTCAGTGAAACCAATAATGGCAATGACTGGAGGGGGAGAATAACGCCCAACATCAATAGCAAATTTTGGCATTTTGTCTTACCTTTGCACAGACACTTTAGAGATATTTATTTATATCTCGCCTTTATTATTTTTATATTTAGATTACCAAGGATACTTTATAGGATTTTTATACCTAGATGGTTTTGGAAAGAAAGAAAGAAAGAAAGAAAGAAAGAAAGAAAGAAAGAAAGAAAGAAAGAAAGAAAGAAAGAAAGAAAGAAAGAAAGAAA